TGTGTGTGTGTGTGTGTGTGTGTGCTGGTTCTTTATTTGTGTTTTGTACGAAAAATGAAAATCAGTTATCAGTCTTTCTGCTGTATCCTAAAATCAGCAACGTCGTATTCCACTGTCAAAAATATCTATTTTATCCCACTTTCAAGTATACGTTATACCACTTTCCGGGACGCTATACCCTACTCCCAAGGCTACTGTATAACACTTTTTAAAATGCTATATCCCACTTTGCCCGGGATGACTCTGATGAGTTTTGTTTCCCACTTTCCTAAATGCAGAATTTCTCATTTGTGAGCACTGAACATTGGTCAGTCAACTTGATTTATTTGGTGAGGCAAAAGCTACCATCGTGGAACAATTCGACCAAAGTTGACAGAATTCAAAAGTGACCTTAAAAAAATAAACGTTTTTGCTTTTCAAGGTCGCAAATCGAACGATCGGTTGTGTTCAGCGTGCGCGTAGAATGCAATAATGGGCAGTGTTAATTTTGAGAAGCAGATATTGATTGGTCAAGAAAAGTTATCAATACTTCCCATGTCTGTAGGATTCAAGGACCTCTCAACACGACAACCGCGTTTTCGGCAATCGGCACTTGGCCCATTATAAGAGAAGGAAATTGCTTTGATGTGAACGGTAAGTTTCGTGTTCATTAACACCGTGCGCCGGTCAAAGTTTTCTATTCTTGTCAAATTTGACCCACCAAATGAGGGGTCTATTTGTAGTGCTGCACTAAAACCGCCATATCAACCTGACCTGACCAGATCCGAATTGCCATGGACACCCGGTATAACCAACAATTCAAGTGATGTAGAAACACGACCGTGCTCCAGACAGTAGGATCGTTTGTGCTACTGACAAGGGGCGGAGGAATAGACAATATTGTAGTCTGCCTTACCACACATCCCCCAGCCCTCCATCCCCAAGAAACAGAGATTTTGATCACGCTCAAAGCCGCTTGAATAAATTTTGTCGTTAGATGAGAGTCTTAAGAAGCCAAGACCAAATTTTCTAGATAGAAGCAATAAGTGGACGAAGAATAATATGCGCGTCGTGGTACTGAGAAAAATTGTTTGAGCATTTGATATGTGGTTTTGAGTGTTTGCGGAAGGCTCTGTAAGTGGATGGGATCGTTTACTTCGGAAACAAAGCACTTCACTGTCAGAGTGCCGGTCTGGGCAGAAATGAGAGCTGCAATCGTTGGTTTTAGAGCATCAGTTCGTTGTTAGACAAGTTCTTGACATCACTATGAAACCATGGCTTACAAACTTAATGAGTGGATCTCTGTTCCCTCAAAAGAGTTTCAAATTGTGCTGTTCATCCAGTTGTTAATTCACTGCGAGAAAAAAAAAACTTTTTTGTTCTTTTTCTGCGTCACATCTGTCTCTTTCTGTCTCTCTCTCTGTCTCTCTGTCTATCTCTCTGTCTGTCTGTCTGTCTGTCTGTCTGACTGTCTGTCTGTCTGTCTGTCCGTCTGTCTGTCTGTCTGTCTGTCTGTCTGTCTGTCTGTCTGTCTGTCTGTCTGTCTGTCTGTCTGTCTGTCTGTTCACAACAATAAGCACACATCTTAGCGGCCATAATCAGCAGCTTCAGCAAACGAATCACAGATTTTGAGACCAGCAAAACCAAAAAAAATATATTTAAAAATAAACAAACCCCAAAACAACAACAACAACAACAACAACAACAACAACAACAACAACAACAACAACAACAACAGCAACAAACAGAAAAACAGCAACAAAAACAAACACAACAAACAAACAAACAAACAGAAAACAAAAACAACCCCCCTCCCTTACACACACACAAAAGATAGTGAAGACGAACGATTTACTACTATACATTAAGAATATTCAATAATAGACATCTTTTAACTTTTGAGAAATATTTTCTTCTAGCTAGTGACAGACTAAGGATCAAGACCAGAAATAATCTCCAGAATAGTGCAAACTTCAGCAACAATGATCAGATTGAAAACCATCTGGAACAACAGAAATATCACCATCAAATCAAAAATCAGACTGATGTGTTCCATGGTCACGTCAGTATTTGTGTATGCATGTGTGAATCCTGGACCTTGAATGCACACCTTGAAAGAAGGATCAACGCTGTAGAGATGAGATGCTTTCGACATATCCTTGGTATCTCATACAAAGATCACATCACGAATGATGAAGTCAAACAACGGATTTAAAATGATATTGGACTATGCTGACCTTCTCACTCTGGTCAGGAAACGCAAACTGCAATGTGGTATGGACAAATCACCCGTTCATCTGGCCTTGCCAAGATGATCCTGCAAGGCAGCGTCCCGGGGGAAAAGGAGCAAAGGCAGACCGAAGAAGAGTTGGGAGGACAACATCAGGGAATGGACAGGCCTGGAACTCCAAGACACGCTCAGAAAAGCTGAAGACCGGAGTGGAGCGCCCCGTCGGACATCCAGTCTACCGGATAGGTGAAGGTGAAGGAATCGTCTAGCTAGACTGTGCTAATTGTTACTAAAGTCTGATTTCGTTGATTAACCTTTGAATAGTACGCCACCCTCTCCTCCTCTTCCTGGTCCTCCTCCCGTTGCTGCTGGTCTTCCTCTTCATTGTCCTCCTCCTCCTCCTCTCCCTCCTCCTCTCCCTCCTCCTCTCCACCTCCTCATCCTCCTCGTCCTTTTCATCATCCTCTTCCTCTTCCTCCTCCTCCTCCCTTCCTCCTTCTCCTTCACCTCCCCGGCCCTCTTCTTCCTTTCACCACCTTCTCTCTCTCTTTCTCTCTCTCTCTCCTTTTCTCAGTCTCTCACACCTCTCTCTCTCTCTCTCTTTCTCTTTTTCTCTCGCTCTCTCTCACTCTCTTTCTTTCGCTCTCTCTCTCGTTTTAAAAAAAATCCTTAGTTTAATCTATTTTCTTGTTATTCCTATTTTTTTCTTTGCTCCCTCTTTATGGGTTTCTGTCTAGCGACGACAATAATTTATAAACGATCGGGCTGCGATACTGAAATTTTAAACCATGAGTATGACATCATCAGTTCAAGAGCAAAATAGACGTGCATAGTGTTTGTAAATTTCGTGAAGTAAACGGAAGTAGGGCCTATTAGTATCAGATCGATGTAAATTGCAATAGAATAGGGGTAAGTGAATGAAGTAACAAAATCAAATTTCTTTAGGAAAGCTGTCAATTGTGCGAGAAAGAAAATGTGATCAGTGTAGTTTGAATGGCAGACCATAGGTGGTAGTAATAATCAGGGGAAGAGATAATAAGAAATACGGAATATTACTAGATATCTAAATGTCAGTTATTATCACAACATGTGTTACAGATCTAGATCTAGAATCTAGAATCTAGTCTAGAGGCTCACTTCGCTTGCAATACAGTAACTTGAGTAAGGCGATTTAAGGTTTTATTTGTGTCGAACGAAGATTGTACCATCGGTGTACAACAGACAAGCCTCTTTAATGTTCCCCTTTCCTCTGTTTCATTACGATGAATATTGAAATGGGAAACAAATCAAGCACACATCAGACAACCTGTATACATGTAAATAATACATAGATCTGAATCTAGATCTAGATCTAAGTGTAAACTTTATTGACCAGTTTGAAGTTCATACACTAACTTGAGTAAACTTTGAGAAAAATGCTGTTGTGATAGGGAACTTATTCAACCCATTTATTTTAGTTTACCCCCCCACAGTGCCGGGTTTGACGGTTAGTCCCC